TTTTGTTCTCCACTCTTTCTTCCCTGGGTCTGCCGGCTGGTCCACAGAGCGCGGAGGAGCAGCTGGAGGAGGAGCAGCAGCAGGAGGAGGAGGAGGTGGAGGTGGAACAGGTGCAGGTGGAGGCAGATACACAGGAGACAGGTGCAGCCACCCCCCAAGGAGAATGATTGCTAACACGAGCCGGAGCCTCCCGCCCGCTCCCTGCTGGAGCCAGCCGCAGAACCCGGGGGGCCGGGGGCCGCGGGGGGTGGGCCGCCAGGGTTAGCTCCGCCGCCTGCCTGGCGCCTCACCTGCATAACCATCCCTTCTCTCACTTTCTCTTTGCAGCCCAGTCACCTCAGGATCCCGCTAACCTTTTCCCCCTCCCACCACCGCCGCTTCCTCCTCCGCTTCCCACTGGAGGTCCTGCCTCATCTTCATCCACCTCCTCTTCCTCCTGGATCTCATCTGCACCCTGCCTCTTCCCTCTCTGCCCCTGTCCGGGTTTCCTCTCTGCCTGCTCACACCTCCATCCCGGGGCCGCCCTGGTCCCCGCCTCCCGCGCCCTCTACCGAGGCGCCCCGGCCTTGCATCTCAGAGCATCCTGCCTGCCACCTCCTGCACCCCTTCTGGCAGCTCCTGCCTCCTGGCCTGGGGAAGAGGGGTGCGGCTGCACCTGCTCTGGGCCCGCCAACCCCGCCGGGCATCTCTGAGGCCGGGCCACCCCACCCCGGCGGCGCCTCACCTCCTCGCCTCCTCCTCACGTTTCCTCCTTGCAGGTTCCTGCCCGCACCCCCTCAGACCTGAGGCTGCGCTTGCAGTGAGGGCCTCTTCCCGGCCCCTCGCCCGCCCCCAGAGCTGCCATCCCTGGTTTGTAGCTTGGCGGAGCTGGAGGGAGGGGCGGAAGCCAGGAGGGTGCTCGTCTCTTGTTCCTTGGACTTGGGCCAGACTCTCGGCTGATTTTCCTCGCCTCCCCAATTCCTCAGCCTATCTGAGCCTTTTGGGTACGAGGCTCTGAGAGAAGAAAGGGGGCAGAAACTCTCCCACCTGCCCATCGGCGCCAGAGCCAGGCTGGGAAGGAGAAAAGGGGAGTGGGCCGGGTGCCTTGGCCTTCCCCCTGCGCGTAGGAGCTCCTGCATCCCAGCCTCGTGGCGCTGGGTTCTGTCCCTGCGGGGTGGGAAGGACAGGCCACACCTTGGATTCCCCCAGCCTATGAGGAGAGGGGTCCGCCAGAACTGGCCAAGCATCGGGGTGTGGCAGAAAAAGTCCTGGCCAGGTGCTCACAAGCCCCGACTCGATCTTGTTATGTGACCTCGGGCAAGTTAACTGTCCCTTTCTAAAATGTAAGTTGTCTCTCAGATGGGAACAGGTAGCTGCTCTCTGTGACCTGCCTCTCTTGGCCTTGATTCCCCTGCCAGAGTCTTGGCAGAACCCGGCCTCCTAGGCGGCCACCACCCAGCCCAGGATGGGGCACGGGGCTCCCGAGCAGGCGAGCTGGGGCCCCTTCCTGCTCCCCGTCCTCCTGGGCTCTGAATCTACCTTCTCCGGGCCTCAGCCCCCCTCCCTCCTCCCAGAAGGGACCCTGTGACTCACCTACCTCTTTCTCTCTCCCTGTCTCCCCCACCCCTCCCTCCCTCCATTTCGATCTCCTCTCTGCCCTCTCCCGGCCCCACCTCACCCCCTCTCCCCGCCCC